AATTTTATTTCTCGTATCTTCTGTAGGACTGGATTTGTAGATAGATATTGTTTGAATTTGACTTTGTAATGGAAGATCTTGTTTTTCTATCAATTGTGATTGAAAATTTTTCTGGGTATAGCAGTCTGAGCTGGCACCTATGGTCTAGAGTCTGCAGCACATCTGTCCAAGCCCTTCTGGCTTTTAGAGTCTCCATTGAGAAACTGGGTGTAATTCTAATAGGTCTGCATTTATATGTTACTTTTTTTTTTCTCTTGAAGCTTTTAATATTCTCTCTTTGTTCCGTATTTTTAATGTTTTATTATGTGTCGAGGGGACTTTTTTTTCTAGTCCAGTTTGTTTGGTTATCTGTAATATTCTTGAACCTTTACAGGTATCCCCTTCTTTACATTAGGTAAATTTTCTACTGTGATCTTGTTGAAAATATTTTATGGGTCTTTGAACTGGGATTCTTCTCCTTCTTCTATTCCTGTTACTTTTAGGTTTGGCCTTTTCATGGTGCCCCAGATTTTCTGGATGTTTTGTGTGAGGAATATTTTAGATTTAGCTTTTTCTTTGAGTGATGTATCCATTTCTATCATGTCTTCAAAACCTGAGAGTCTCTCTTCTATCTCTTGTATTCTCTTGGTGATGCTTCTGCTGTAGTTCTTGTTTGCCTACCTAGATTTTCCATCTCCAGGATTCCCTTGGTTTGTGTTTTCTCTGTTGCTTCTATTTCCATTTCCAAGTCATGAACAGTTTCATTTGTTTCCTTCAACTGTTTGTTTTTTCTTGACTTTCTTTAAGGGATTTATTCATTTCCTCCAGTTTTGTTTGTATTTTTCTAGACTTTTTTTTAGAGACATTTATTCATTTCCTCTTCAGGGACCTCTGTCACCTTCAGAAGGTTGGTTTTAAGGTCTTTTTCTTGTGCTTCAGCTGTGTTGGAAGTTTCAGTGCTTGCTGTGGTAGGATAGCTGGGTTCAGGTGGGGACATGCCGTCCTGACTGCTGTTGATTGTGCTCTTAGGATGGTGACTAGGCGTCTGGGTTTGTGATGATTCTAGGTCTAGGTTCTGATTTCTGAGTTTGTCTTTGTTGGATAGGTGTTTTTGTTCCTTGGTTTCTACTTCCTCTTTTGCTCTTCTGGTCTGTGTGGCCTAGAGTTCTGGCAGCCAGCATGCCCTCTGGTCCAGCAGGGGGGGTCTCTGCTTGAGTTAGGGGCTGAGACATGGTGATGAGGAGGGGAAGAAGGATTGGTGATGGTGTATGGGGCCGGCACTGAGAAAGTGCAGGAGGTCCATGAGTGGGCAGCCTATCTGGAGTTCTGGTGGACAGTGTGGTATTTTGTCTGGCAGGGATCTCCGCCTGAATTCACATACACGTTCTTCTGGGTGGTGTGATCTGTACTTCTAGTTGATGTGGCCTCCAAGACAATTTTTTCAATCTTCAGGGGGACTTGAAATCTAGTAAGGGATGAAAAATGAGTTCCCAGAGAGCTTACTTCAACCTTGTACTTCCCCTTTTTGCCGTCTCTGTCAGACTGGCATGCTCTGCCAGTATCTGCTAATGCTTCCTAGTGTCCAGCCTCCTGCCTGCCCAATAATCAACATTTACTGAGTGAGGAAGTAAGCAAAATGACAGAAATAGAGTAAGCCAAGATTAATATTTAAAGTGATCACATAAGGGCTGTGTGCTGTCCTGTATTTGTGAATAAAGGGTCTGGGAGTGCAAAGGTAGGGGAGAGACCCTGACAGGGGGAGCATCTAGAGGACCCTAGGTGACAGCTGACTAGTCTGTGGCAATGGGGGAATATACACAGATGCTTCTCAAAAGGTGGGATGTAGTCGGAAGGTTTCCTGTGTCCCAGCCTGCCAGCAGTTGGGACAGATCTCTCTCCCACTTGCATCTCCCAAGTGAACACACAGAGGTTTATATTAATTCTAACTGCATGGCCATGGCTCAAGCCTTTTGCTAGCTAGGTCTTATATTTTAATTAGCCCATAACTATTAATCTATGTATCACCACATGTTCCGTGGCTTTACCTGCATCCCATTACATGTTGCTCCTTGGGCAGCTTGCTGGCGGCTCTCCCTGCCTTCTCTCTCTCTCTCTCTCTCTCTCTCTCTCTCTCTCTCTCTCTCTCTCTCTCTCTCTCTCTCTCTCT